CCGCACAGGAAACGGGGCCCGTGATCAACGTCTCCGGCGTGGCCCTCTTGAGAGACAGCTCCGGGAGCGACTGCAGAAAGCTCCCAAGGAGCAATGGCATCCCGCAAGGGATCGTGGACAAGGCGAGGGAGGTGGTGGTGATGAAGCAAGAGAGGCACTTGGCGGCGCGGGGAAACAAGAGGTGCAAAACCGGCGAGGGTGTGAAGGTCCCCGGGCCAGATCTGGCCCCCTCCGCCTTCTTCTTGGGGTCTTGGTTGGTCGCTGCGGGCCAACGAGTTGAAACGGTCGATCGTGTCGCTACGAGCCCCGATGACCTGACCATCATGCCGTGCGTGTAACGTTGGTACTCCATAGATTGTTCTGTGAGGGGCCAGCACACCCCGAAGCATCAAACCCTGTAAATGCGTCGAAGACGGGCATCGACAACACACTCGTATCACTTGACAACATCCGCGACCAATCGGCGGCCAGCACTTTACAATAGGGCGCAGGGGCGGGCGGGGCCTGGGAGGCTACGTGGGCGAGGGAGTAACGACTGGCACCGAGGTGCTCGAAGGCAAATCGCAAACAGAAAAGGCAACCATCACCACCATAAAAGGAAGCAGCAACAACAACAACAACGACAACAACAACAACAACAACAACAACAACATCCACAACCACAACAGTAGCGGCGACGTCAAGCAACAAGTGTGACAACCAGCAGACAGACACACGGAGGTTCTCTCTCACCCTTGAGCGCGGCACCTCCCTCGGCGATCTTGGTGGCACCCGGGGTTCCAATTGGCACTACCCCGCCGTACTTCACCCACGAGACGTTCGCTGCATTAGATGAGGCCATTGCGTGGGGATGGGGGGCGAGCGAGCGAGCGAGGGGCGGAGGTGTCAGCCCGGCAAAACAAATTATATCGAACGCCGGTACCGCTTGACAACATCCGCGACCAACCACGGCCAACAATTAACAATGGGGCGCGCGCGGGGGGGGGGGGGGGGCCTATGTGGCTGGATTGGCGAAGAATTAACAGAACTTCCAAAACAAGAGAGTCCTATCGAAGGAGCCATGCAAGATCGATTGTAAGCAATGATACCAACCTCAACAAAGACCACAAACAAAAAAAACAGTCGTGGCGACTTGACTTCACTGGCTTGTCGTTTTAAGGGAGGCGTCCGACAAGAATGACGTCAGAACGCACTGCCCGCTCTGTGCGGCGGACGGCAAGGAGACGCATTGACCGGGGTGGCTTCCAACGGCGAGCCCGTTACCTACAAACACCTTCCGCCTTTGTCCTCCTACAGAGGGTTTGGTTTTGTGCCCGCCTGCGTCACTCTTGTGTCGTCGGTGCAATCCCCGTCGCCGCCTCCTCGTTCACGCACAAAAGCGATGTAGTGCCCGCTGTCTGCGCGCGTTCCATTGCATTGTGGAACGACGACCCTGGTCCGAGTTTGCGACACGAGGTACCGTAAGCTCCAGAGGCAACCACATATCGATTTAAACCTAGAGAGGAGTTCAACGGTATCGACCGGGCGGGGGCTTGCTACCCGGTACAATCATAACAGGGACGGGGGGTGGTCGGTCGAACGAACGAACCCCTCTCCTCCTTCCCATTTTCCCGACCCGTTTCCTCTTGAGAGTGCGCCAGCCAACTCGTTGGCCACCCCGCAGTCACCCCCGGACGTCGGATCCCTGGTTCTGGCGGAGCGTGGCCGTCCGGTCAAACCCCATCCGCCGGGCGTTCTTCGTCCCGTCCGGCATCGCCCGTCTAACGGCTACCACGAGCGTTGCAGGCAGCTGTGATCCACAGACACCTGCAACGCCAGCTACCTGCAACCGATCTATGGCTAGCCGTTAGACGGGCGATGCCGGATGGGACGAAGAACGCCAGGCGAATGGGGTTTCACCTGGGATGAACACTCCTCCAAAAACAAGGATACGACGTACGGGGGTGAGGCGGGGTGTTCACGGACTTAGCGGGCGCACTCTCAAGAGGAAACGGGTCGGGAAAATGGGAAGGAGGAGAGGGGCTCGTTCGTTTAACCGAACCCCCCCCGCCCCTGTTGCGATTGTACCGGGAAGCAAGCCCCCGCCCGGTCGACAACATATTGTTCTCCTATGTAGGTGTCAATCGAGTGAACCACGAAAATACGTTGCCTCGCTGGGGGCTCTTTTCGTCGGCATGCGTCACTCTCCCCTGTTATTTTTTCGTCTGGGTACGCCTTGTTCGCCGCATGAGCCGCGCGCAAGCCGACCTCAGCACGGGCGCAGCACCGACGAAAAATCTCCACTTCTTGGGGCGAACCTATGTTCTCTTGCAAGGTTATGGATCGCATGTCTCACACACACTGTGCACACGTCGTTTTACAATTTTCCCTCTCTTATTTTTCGCGTATTTTCTTCATGAGCCACCACGTACGCGGGTACGGCCAACGTCGTCGATGGCTCCTAGTGGCGGGCGACTGTCTTGTGACTACCGACGGGCTTTCTCGCACCTGGTGGTAAGCTGAGCTGAGTACAGCGGTGTCGCTTGAGCACTGCTGTGACTGTGCGACCTCGGCAGCAGGACCAGAGACACCAGCGTTACCCAAAAATGACGCCACCACAAATTCAACACAGCCTGAGTTGTCCGCCGTCTCCGGTTTGGTAGTGTCGTCCAGGGGCAATCGGTGGGTTTTCGTGGTGGCGTCGTTACTGGGGAACGACACCCGGACGCTGGTGTCTCTGGTCCTGCTGCCGGGGTCGCGCTCCAGGCCGTAGGTGCACTTCGCCTGTGCATTTGAGGGTCAACTTCAGCACTGCCGGTGCGGGTCCCTACCTGTTCGTCGTGTGGTTGTGATGGTTGTAAATGATCGTGACTCGCGTAAAGTGGCGCGGGATAGTGCATGCGTGCGCTGCTGCTTGCTTCGTTAGAGCCAGGAGCAAAAAACAAGTAATCTGGGGAGGTCCAAAAAGAATCGACTCTATTCCAGAGGCCACCGAAAACGCTACCCTGCCCTCCAAGTCCGACTCCCTCCCTCTCTCTCTCTGCACGATCGGATGCTTGTTTCCCGACGCTCACCTTGGTGGTCGCCGTCAGAGTGGCGGCTGCCAAAGCGGGGGGGGGGGGGGGGTACTCAAAATCTTGGCTGCCGTAATCCTTAAACCATTGACCTCCCACCCCTACAAAGCCGGGACGGAACACGCCGGGTTCTCCCCGGACCAAAATCTGGGTTCTGCCAAAGGAGGGGGGGGGGGGGGGTACCCATAGTCGGGGATGCCGTAATCATTAAACCATTGACCCCCCATCCCTACAAAGCCGGGACGGAGCACGCCGGGGTTTCCCCGGACCAGGGTCTCACATCACCAAGCGCGAAGCACCGTGAGGGATTTGGGGAGTCCCATGAAGGGGGAGCTGCATCCTGGTAAGGGTGTTCGGGATCTTGTCCCTTACTTCCTTGCGTACGGATGACAGCTACGTATGACTTAATTTATTTTCTGGTGTTATTACTTCCAGAGAGGAGGGGGGGGGGGGCGAAAATCCGGCAGCAGTCACCTCGTCGCCAATCCGACCGAAGAGGCGGTCGAACGCCTCCTAGGGGCAATGCTGTGCATATATCGATATCGAAATCCCGGGAGAAGCGAGTGGTGCAAGGAGGAGAGCGAGTCAGACCCGACGGAGCACCGGTGCCAGGCATCATGATTTCACTCAAGCACAGCAGCGGTACTGGCGCTCGGCGCGGAAGATTGACACCGACGTTTACACACGCAGATGACAACGGGGAGGCCCTGTATGTAGGTGCCAATCGAGCTGTATGTGTCTCTAGAGCTTACGGTTCACCGTGGCGATTGATTGACAACGCTGTGAGACCCACCTGCGTCACGCCTGCGTCACTGGTGCAAACACAGCCACCGCCCTCGCGCACGCACAAAAGCGATGTAGTGTCCGCTGCCGGCACGGGTTCCACTGTGAACGACGACCCTGATCCGAGTTTGCGACGCGAGGTACCGTAAGTTCCACAGGTACTCGCCACGGTGAACCGTAAGCTCTAGCGGAAAATACATGTCGATTGACACCTATTACTTGCCTGCAGCCCAAGATCGAACCCCACTCCCAGGACTCCGCCGCTCCCAACGAAGTCGTCGTGGATGCCCAGCCCCGCTGACGCCAGAGGAAGAGAGTCTACCTGCAGGCGAGGTTCGTGTCGTTTAGCGCTAGCCAGTCACGGGCGCAACGGATAAATCTTTGTAGATGGACACACCACGGGAAAGCACTCGCCCGCACCATCATTTCCGACCCGGCGTACATGGAGCACACATGAATTTTATTCGCAACCCCGCACAAAAAAAGGTAGCGAGCGGTGGTGGGCAGTGGAGCAAACTGATGGCTTTTTCACACAAGCTGCCCGCGTTTCCGAAATGTAGCTGCACCTTCTGAGCCGCGTCGGCCAGCGTAAAGGGCGCATGACAGCTCTCTCTCCTCTCGTTCTCGAGGAACTGGGGCTGTCATAGAGCAGGGCACGTGAGGACAGATGGGCAGCAGCGAGGTCGAGGTTGCCGAAAGCATCTGGGTCAGTCAGACGCCCACCCAGTCAGATGGGTAGATGGGTGTACCTACTGTGTGCGTATCCGTTGCGATATCAACCCTTGTCAAGAGGAGGACAACCTCGCAAATCTCGCATCACATCGAGCCCCATACATTGCATTGAACGTTCCTGCGTCTGTTTGGAATCGACGCGCCGCCGAACTAAAACGGTTGTGGATGCTAGGGGATCCCCGGGAAATCGTTGTACATTTTTTGGACCTCATAAAAATAAAAAAGGGCACAACAGACAGATACACCAACTTGATGAGCGTCTCGCGATGGTTGTGCCGACACCGCGGTGCAGACAGGGGCTAAGCAACGGGTGCTTTACCTGCAACATGAAGGTCTTCGTTCAGGTCTTTGCGGTCCCCGGCACAACCATGGGCGAGACGCTCATCAAGTTGGTGTATCTGTCTGTTGTGTCCTGTTTTATTATGTCAGAGATCTACTTATCGAAAAATGTGTAGCTCACACCTTCACTGCTTGTGCCCCCGGCGGACAACGAGCCCTTGCTTGTCGAACCGTCCCCTTCGCCGAGTGGCACATCCTTTCGCCTCTCCGCCGTGACCACCTGACCACCTCCAACTCTTCCCGACGTGCAGCCTGCGGGACAAGTCGAACCACAGGGTGTGATAAATTGGGCGAAGCTAGTTGGGTGCAAGAGCAAAAAGTGTTGCGGAACGAGCCTTCAAAGGCTAGGCAGGTCATGTCACCGACGGTCCACCCTAGTTTCTTTTGCAACTACACAGATACCGTATACGACACAAGATAACACACCCCCTAGACTGATTTTCAAAGCTCGACTACGCCACGACGAAGAGGATGCATAAACGAAACGAAACGTTTTCGGAAAGCTCTCGACGAGACGGCTTCAACACCCCCACTTTCGGCGCTGCGACTCTTTCTGCTGATGAGAAATCGAGCTTTGAAAATCGGTCCAGGGTGTGTGCTATCTTGTGTCGTATACGGTAGGTCCTGAACGGTACGGAGACTCGCCTACGAATGTTGTCTGTGTCTTGGCCATAGTAACCATGACGGCGCGCGCACAAGCGCAACAGTTAGATGCACTCGGGTGTCGCGGCATATACATGACAGCGTATTCCCTGGTTCAATTCGAACTGCCAGTAAGTACCCATACCTCTTCCGCAGCTCGGCCCTTGGTCCGATCGTCGGCTCGCTCATCATCCGAGCAGGCTTCGTCGTCCCCGTCTCCGGGTAGGTGTACGCGTATTCGTCGTCGTCATCGTCGTCCATAGGGGGGGATTGCTCGACGCCGAGCCGTCGTTTGCGCCTGGCAGAACACGGGAGAGAGAGAGAAGAGACAGACAGAGAGAGAGAGCTAGGTCACACTCGCACAAAACAGCGCGAAACACGAGGAACACTTGTTAGGAGTTCTGTCTATGGAGACTCTCTCTCTCTCTCTCTCTCTCTCTCTCTCTCTCTCTCTCTCTCTCTCTCTCCATCTCCCTCGCTCTCCTTCTTCTCTCTTTTCGTTTTCTGTATCGTGACTGACCCGCTCTTCCGCTACGAGTTCAGCGTGCCAAAGGCTCAAGGGCGCCCAGCATTCGTCTGCGCATCTGTTAAAATACCGGTTTTCTGTGCCTGTAAGCGGGCCTAAACAAGTTGCTGCGTGCCAAAAATGTTTGGGCACGTGTCGGACACACTCTGATCCTCTTCATGCCGTGCCCGTGGACGGATACTAATACTCGGTACGAAGTTGGCAACTTCCTCGCACCGGTGTGCGTTGCCGCCGACCCCGAGTCATCCGAACCGGCGGTGCCGTCGGCGTCCCCGGGTGGGTCCGTCTCATCCGACCCAGGGGACTGGGCAAATGGATATGAGGTAGCAAGCGAGACCAAGAAGAGGGGTAGAGCAAGCGACAGAGAGAGAGAGAGAGAGAGAGAGAGAGAGAGAGAGAGAGGACACAAGACTTTCTGTGTTGGGCGCACGGGTGCCTAAATGCGGCCGGTGCTCTGTTCGCAACACCCGCCGGGGAAGGAGCAATCGCCCAAGCGGTGCTGTCTCGAGAAGCGAGTGTCCCGAGAGCCGAGGGCCGGTCTGTACAAGGCTTGGTCATTGGCGCGAACCCACGCCGCACAAAGCTTTGTGTCTTGCACCAAACCTTGCATGGAGCGACAGCACCAGCAGTCGGACATTGTTTGTTCGTCGGGTATTGTGTGGTACAGTAAATTACCGTGTCAATATTCTGGTTGGAGGGGGCATGCAACGTAGGCGGGACCAGTTAGGAAAAAATGGGTGCATTCAGATGTTCGTATTCCGGATGTTGCTGCAAAAAAAAGTATAAGTCAGTGTGTTCAGAGAGTTGTTGGTTTTTTGCTTTGTTTTTCTTCCGATGTTTTCCGCTACGACATAGTCTGTACTGTCGTATGGAGGCATCGGGTCAAAATAACAAAGTAACAAGAGGAGTTTGTGCACAGACGCTGCAGTGTACAGCACACAAAAAGGTGCCTGATTTTCGAGCGCGGCAGGTTACCAACCCTCCTGCCACGGCATCCACTTTCTTCCCTACAACGTGATGCTTAGCGTACAATATGCTGGTGTGTGCTCATGTTTTCGTCCTGAAATACTCGATGATTTCCTGAGTAGTGCCGGTACCGGCATCATCGCCGACTTCTCAGACCTTGAATAGGCCGAATTTATACGATGCCGGTGGCCTGCTATCATGCCGGTGACATCGGCTGGACCGCACCGGCATACCGGGACCACTACTTTACAGGCACATGAGGGAAAGGGCTGGGGGGGCATCTCTGTAGTGTTGGTGTCTTGTGATCACTGATCATGAGTGCTTTCGAACGTAGGTTTGAGCATTTCTTTTATTCCTGGGCCGCACTGCCATTGCTGTGGCTTTTGATAGGTTAGGCCATCGAGATATTCCGCCGCCCGAGAAACGGGCACGCAGCTTACCCGGGCGGGTGTGGGCGGGCGAAGGCGGGTGTGTTAGCGCATCTGTCCAAACTGCTTTGAAAAAGGGCAGGTACGAGCGAAACCCAGAGCAGGCACAGCCGTTGCAGCAGCTTTATTTTCCATGTGACCCTCGAACTCTGAAAGCACGTCATGCTCGGCGGACTTTCTATCGCGCCGTGGAGTTCTAGTCCACTTGATCTCTGTGTGTTCGCTGCTGATGGTTTGTGCAGCTTAGATATGATGCTACACACATCACAGGGGGATGCAGCAGTAGTAGAGGGACTAGAAAAGCAGCACTACGCCATCATCATGACGACGCTGCTGGTTTGTCGTGCTCTTGTCTGCCTCCCTCGCATCCACCACCAGGAACACTTACACAGTAAACACAACAACAACCAACAACAACAGCATTAGCAGCGGATATTCCTGTAATTAATTGGACAAAGGGCGTTATCTTCTGCCTTGGGTCACCCGCAGAGAGAGAGAAAGGTCTTAGCGCGAACGTATTATGGCTACTGTCTTTCATGTGTCATGCAGGCTGGAACCCTACACAGTTTTGCGTTAGCCTACCCAAGAGGAACGACAGACGATTCAAACCGAAACGGCAACGACAGTAAGGCAACAAGAAAAAGACGCGCCTTCTGTATGATAGGGAAGCCACCACGACACCAACCACATGCGCCCAAGACGGGACTGGGCTGGGCCACAAGAACCACGCAACCACTAGACAGTTTCGAGCCTCACACCTTGCACCAGTCTTCGGGGATGGAGAAGCTGCCAACGTCCAAGGCTGGCTTGAAAGCGGCAAAGGATGTGCAGCCCACCCCATCTACCCGAACTCCTTCAACCTCGCACATCTGAACGTAGGAGACCTACGTGGTTTGACCTGACCGGGGGGCGGGTGTACAGCGGAAGAGACAGAGAAGTGGTGAACGGAGAGGTTAGCGTGTGACGTGCCCGAAGGAGCAGATGCCGAAATTTTTGCCTTCTACTACTGTACTACCAGGTTACAGCCAACGCCAACCGTGTACTTTGCCAGCACGCACGACGCCTCTTGATGGTGTCCTCTACTGATACCAGTACTAATTACCAGGTTCAGGCGGGAAGGTTGCTTTCTTTCTTTATGTTGGATTAAAGTATGAGAAAAAGAGCCAGCGTCAACACCCCTATTCTGCCCCCCCTTAAAAACCAGCGTAAGGGCACGCTATTGTAGATGCACTGCCGAGGATTTCCTCTGTGGTGTAACCACAGTTGGTTCATATGTCTTCAGGACAAGAAGCTCTGCCGCATACCAGCACCAGGCACAACAATGCAATACAGCTGTACAAGAGACTCAAGGCTCTAGGTGGGCTGGTGCAGGAAGTCCAACAGGGCGGGTGATGGTGAAAATGCTCCGTCAACAGGACACAAAAAGACAGCAAGACAGCGGAGTTCCACCCCGTGCCTCACCTGCTGTACAGGTAACATGCTTGATGGTCCACTCCACAGGCTTGCCTCCTTTTCATGGGGTGTGAAGTCGCCGGGCAGGGTTTGCAGCAAGCCTTGTCCGTACAGAAGTAGGCACGAGCAGGAGCACGACACAGCAGACGGCAGAAGGCCGACCCAAGTGCACAAGTAAGTGGACAAGTTGGTGCGGAAGGCTGTGGAGCACGCCGGACGGAAAGCACGACCGGCAGAGAGGCACATCACATCACCCAGCCCGTCCTCACCCATCACACCACCGGAGTTCGGAGTTCGGAGATCAGAAGCTCAACAACAACGGCCAATGTACATAGAGCAGCTGGCACGCTGGCACCGAGCACACTCAAGCACATTAGCACATGCAGCATGCAGCTGCAGTCAATAACTACTTACATTCGCTGACGGTTCCGGTCGCGAACCGGCACGGGAACCAGTGTACCCTGCATACCTCACCGAACAGACCAGGACCAGGAGATGGGAGAGGGGGTGAGCGGGAGAGCTACACGTGAATTTGTGGGTCAGGCTCACGGCCCGGAGTCATGGCTGATTCCGCCCAAACCAGCTGCTACACTTTCGATATGTCGCTATGCAGACCGTGTGGTGAATTGCGCCTCTTTGTTCTCGTGGCTGCGCCTTCAGAGGGCGGTCAAGCACAACCTACATTCTCTAAAAAAATCGCTGCAAAAATTCAAATTGATTTCCAGGATCCTCGAATAGACTCGCCGCAGGTCGTCAGTGTTGCTCGAGTTGCTGATCTGTTCGGATAGGACGCCTGCACGGCAAGCACCTGAGCTTCTGTGGCCATCATCTGAGAGTTCGACGAGTATGGTAGACCCTTGCACTCCAACCGATCCATCCGGTTTGGCCCCGTGCTGTGTGTTCATCTCGCTTGCTTGACCTCGTCGCCTCCCGCTCTCTCGTGATCTGTAATGTCTCTGTAATCTTTTTGATGAGACAGGATGAACATGACAGGAACGGACACGCTGAGACAAGCGGACGTGCAGGTGTACTTGATCGGAGATGCACAGCAATACAGCAACCGGAGTCACCCCGAAAGCTGGGGAATATCGTGCACAAGGCGACAATACCACATGGATGGGTAGGTAGCACCAGAACCGTTGTGCCTTGCACCGCGGCGTGGGCATTCATCCGCTCTGTCTGGACGGACGGACGATATCATCCCATGAACACCGTTTTGCTTTTGCCGCCCAGACCCAGAAATTCAAAATCTGTGCGTTTGCTTCGAATCGAGTTCGTGCCATGTTGGCCAATATCGGTTGGTGTTGATGATGCAAACTCTTCCTTCTCGACTGAACCCGCACACTATAGACTACATAGGTGGACTGCTGTACTGTGCAGACCAAGCGGCAGCACGGCAGCATGCAGCAGCAGTTGCACACAATGTGTCATGAATGACGGATCGCAGCAGCAGCAGCAGCAGCAGCAGCAGTTGACTCTCATTCTCACCTTTACTCCGAACCTCTCCTCACCGAAACGAGGATGTCTGTTCGATGCGTTGCACCACGTACCAGCATCTATCTCCTCCAATGCCGGCAAGAGCTCAGCCGCCACGCCCAGCACGTCCAGTCCATCCACACAGCGTCTCGACTACGGGGATGTGTACCGTAAACAATCGTACATGCTGTTTCCCTCACACACACATGACCGCCGATCGAGCGTCCCAAGAGAGCGATGCAGAGAGACGGGGGGGTAGGGGGGCTGGTATCCAACACGCATTGCACGAACCCCCTTCTCCCTCTCGTGGCGGTGGGTGCTCCCGGCCCACACACTCATTCCTCTCTCGCGCTCTCCTCTCAGCAGACGCTAGACTGGACTGCTGTACATCGCCGACTTCGAGCCTCCTCACCACCGGGATACTCTTCGAGTCATCATGCCTGCTACTACTGCCACTTTCACCTCCACCTTCAAGATCACCACAAGCGCTACCTTGGCCATGCGCCTGGCCTCTGTCAACAACGGCCGCACCATCCCCAACAAGCGGATGAGGAACGAGCTGGATGGGGATGACCTCGCCTTCGACCTCGAGGCCAACCGGCCGTGTAAGAGGCACCGGATCCAGTACTATACCGAGGTGAGATTCCACTGCCGCTGTAGGTTATCATTTATCTTTCCCCCTCGCTGAGAGACTTGGGTTGGCTGCTGGCCCAAGTGGTTGCTTTTGGGGACGGATGGCTGGCACTCTTGGAGAGATCCATTAAAAGCAAGGATTCGTCAGGGGTTGAAGGGTTGGCTACGGGGAGCGACCAGCAGCTGTTGAGGTCACACGCAGCGCGGAGGAAACCACTGACCATAGGCTCCTGTCGTACCACACGGCTACCGAGCAAACCTCACACTCGCGCTGGCCCACTGCTGTCCCTCGCTTGTGATTGCCGCGTGTCCATCATTGGTGCCCACATGAAAACACCATTTCCCCCGGGACCATCCAATTGCTGTCGTTCATATCCGGGCTCTCCCCTTTTCCCGCAATCCTCCAAGCAGTCCACACGCGCACGACTGAATCCGAAACACACCAACCTCCTGGCACGAATGAATCAGTTGGAGCAATCGAGATTTCATTTTTATGTCCATGAAATTGAGCCACAACCTCGCACAGCCTCTCAACCAACGCACATGCCACGCACATACCACCGTGTGACCGATCTGCCCTGCACATAACCTCCATCTTCAACCTCAAACTGACCCCATACAATGTACTCCTCCCGGATGTGTGTCACTGTTCACGCTCGATCTGCAGGCGGAAGAGGACCTGTTGGTGTCGATTCTCGTTCAGGGATACGAGAGCGCGGTGAAGGACAGCCCGTGCCCTCAGGCGGAGCAGCAGCACCAACACACCACACCCAAAGACGAGGCCCTCTACGCGGCCATGAAGGAACATGAAGCCTCTACCGCCGCCCTCGCCGCCAGGGCCAAAATATACGCGCAGCAAGTCGCCGCCGCATCGGAGGATCTTCAGAAGGCGATCGCCGAGGCCCGCGAGCAGGAGGCCATCGCGGACAAGGCGCGTGCCAACAGACATTACCGCGCCATGCAGTACGTCGGTGCGTCCGCCATTTATGAGGGGTCCCAGCTTTATGACGAGCCCTGCCGGGAGCAGTGCAAGAAGCGGGCCAGGCAGGAGCGGAAGCCGATGCCCTTCAGCGACTTACAGCAGGCCTCGGAGGATGATATCTATGAGTTGATTTGGCTCCAGAGGCAGTCGCACCTGCAGGAGGCCAGGAAAAACTTCGAAGCAGAACAGAAGACCCTCCTCACGAAGAAGGCGGAGCGGGACCAGCTCGCCCGCGAGCACGACAAGGCGGAGACAGCGGCATCAGCAGCGCTAGAGTCCCTCAGAAAAAGAATGAAGCAGGCCGAGGTGGACGCGTTTGACTCCCTGCTGGAATTTAAGCAAGCCTACGCCGACACTCCCTGCGACTCTTCGCGGTTCAACACCCTCTGGGCCGTCTGCGATGTGATCGACGAGCTGGTGGACGGGCCCTCCCCGCAGGTGATTGTTCTTCGCGTGCTGGTGCTTGGCCTTCTGTGTGTAGTCGCTACTGTACCTCTTGTCTTCTTACGCATTAAACAACTATTCGTGTACATAGATAGATAGGCCTTTCTTGTCTTCATGGTCAAGTTTCGTTTGTTGTACCCCTGTAGAACCAACGTGAGTCTTGTTTTAGTTTGCGAGAACCATGCCATAGAAAATGGTACAGCGCGTTTGGCAAGCCGTGCGGTCTGCTACTCTTCGTCCCACACTTTGGTGCTGGTCGCTTTGGGTCGCCGCTGCAACAGAGTCTGTCGTGTTCTTCTTGTGCATGCCGTACCCCCTCATGCACTTCTCTCCAGCATCGCACCTTCGCTCATATCACCTAACGTGAGGCTGAACTCGTTCGCTCTGTCATACATGTTACTATTCAATGTTATTTACCAGGCTGCTTCTCCTTGCCCGCCCCCCCCCCCAACTACATTTCTGCTACAGCAGAGCAAGAGTGCGGGTCGCAGGAGGACCAAGCGGACGAGGTCCTCCCGCTAAGGACGACACAAGTACACAACAGTGCTTGGACACCGTAACTACATACGAATTTTCTCTGAACGCGTGTGCTTGTGGCTAGTCGGTGTTGTTCCTGTTGCTGCTTTCATACAGGATGTGTTTGTGGGGTGATGCTTGTGTGACATGCGTAGTGTTGATGGCGATGGCTACGGCTGTTTGCCTGTGCCTAGCAACAACTGCTGCGGATTTTGCTTCGTTTGAGCCTCCCATCGTAACGCCTAGGCGTGGATTCGTGTGAGTTGTCCGAGGAAAAACCGCCTGCGGTATGGGGTAGTTATTTTTGGTGGTGTCGATCTAGAGGAGCAGGGAGATTTTGGAAGTGCATGCGGACTGACCGTTGGTTGTGTAGAACAATTTGCTCAGGTTGCTCCTTGGTTGAATCTCCATGTTGTGGTCTCTTCTCGCGTCAAGAGTCACGGTGTGCTCGGAACCCGTACGTTCATTCGTGCGGAACTACGAAGCACCCGTCTTGGCGCTAGCAATCTCTGTACAATGTGGTTGAATACACACCATAGGAGACTCTGCCACCCACTGGGCGAGGAGCAATTGTTTTTCTGTGGGGGTGGGGGCAGAATACACGGGAATCAACTTGGTTTGATCTCCACAAAGAACGGTATTTAGTCTCTTTCTCGCGTCAAGCTCACAGCAGTGTGCTCGGAAACCGTGCGTTAGTGCGGACATACGATGCACCTGTCTTGGCGCTTGGAAGAGCTCTGTACCATGTGGTTGAAACCATGCCGTCGGTCGTGTAAAATAGCGAGGAGCACTTTGGGAGGGGGCGGTCGTGATAAAGAACAAAAGACCACGTAGTTAGTTAATGGCACGGTAGAAGTGAGTGTCGCGTTGTCTACGAAGGCATTATTAATTGTTAACGAGTGCGGGAGATACGTACATGGATGCTGTTGCGCGGTCACCGTAGGTAGGGATGAGAATCTGTGCCGTCCCACCATCGTTCTTGTGTTGAGTAATTGACCTAGGACATGGTCGCCTACGCCTGGTTGGTGGTGCTGCATTGTGTCTACAATAGGCGAAAGGATGCGAAAATTGTTCGTGTATTTTTGAGAGGACATTGTTTTTCTTGTTGTTTTTTTTAGGACCGATCGTACCAAGTCGAGCAAACAATTCGATTGAGATGATAAGTTGGCTGGAGCGCCCTCGCTCAGGCAAGGTGTGTTTGTCGTCTGAAAACGTTGGTCTATTTTGGGGCACATCAAATCAACGGTCGGTGTAGGCGAACAATACGCCACCCCCCACAAGCACAACTGAACAACATACTATACACGTATGCATGGTACATGCCGAACCAACCAATAGACTACGGTTGAGATGCGGCAAACGTGGTTGGTTGTGGTACGTCGTGAAGGGAAGAGTTGAAGGACCCGACACGATGGCTACACACCGAAGACCTTGGAAAGAAAAATATAACGCACAAAATACGTTCTCCATCAGGACTTACAGCGAAGAACCTCTTGTTTTTTTGGGCGAGGCTCGCGGTTTGTTGGCGGCCCCAAATCAAGCACCTGTCTGGATGCTGTTTCAGCAGTATTGGCGAGGTGTGTGCTTCGGCCAGCCACGTTCCTCCCAAAAATTGGAGGCCCGTTGTTTCCACAACGAGGCGATACGGGAACCGCGTTCTTTTTATCTGAAATAACTTCGTCGAATTTTTCTCGCAGCCTGGATGTGGCAAGCAACTATTAATAAAGATTTTAGGTATCATACTTGTAGCTGCATGGTGATTGGTTTGACGGGCACGCGCTACTTGGCCATCAGCACCATAACGAAAGGCATACGCTGCATGCAGGCCGTGGACCTCTGCTCGTATCGCCGCCCGCGCTCAAGCAGAGCAAGCACAATAAGCGCTCTGACTCTGGAAGCATATCGCGACCGTCATATGCATACGTTCGGCGACCCAGACGAGCGTCCGTGTTGGTAGTATCAAGGCAACACGACGAGCGTCCGCCGTGTTGGTGGTCAAGGCAACACGTGGCCGAAATACGCAACATGCACACGTGGGCTCTTCGGATTTTTTTTTTTTTTCCTGCACAGAAAGCGTAAGAACTTGGCATCTAAGAACTTGGTGCTCAGCCTTACATCAAAACATAAAGAAATTGAGCACCATTTGTTACCCCAGTAAAGAGCCCCTACACTAAAACCTACATAGCGGCCAATTCCAGCCCATAAGAGGAACTAAGAACCTCAGCCCCGGCCGAAACTAGAGGTTCTCTAAATGCGGGCGCTATACCTGCACTGTCCGCAACGTGTGACAGAAAAAAAGCGGCGCGTTGAACAAGCTCACAATGTTGTTGGTCGCAACGACCAGCCCGTTCGTAACGAACAGCCCGCCAACTCTCCCGCCGCCCTCCCTCCCGCACGAACGACATGCACACACGAACGTCAACAACAACAACGACAACAACGAACCACACGCAGGCTGGCTACAAGTATGATACAAACTAATTGAGCACGTACAGCACGGGACACGTCAGGTGGTGGTGGGGAGGTATGCAACCATCATCATAGATAGAGCGTTGTCATCATCGAATAGAAACAGCACGAACGAAAGAGAAAAAATGCCTCAACATCGTCTACACGCCACTCGCAGGCAAGGCCAGAAAACAAGAGCGGACCACCGGACGATTTTTCTAGGCAGAGAGAGCACCGCCAAAGAGCAAGCACTCACTCCGCCGCCGCCGCCGCGCCAAGCCTGGTACCAAGAGTACAGCCCATCCCCATTGTGATGTTGGCATGACCCAATCCCGCCTACAGAGAGCCAACAACAATCGTTAACACTTACGACACACACACACTACACCGGGAGAGAGAGAGAGAGAGTGACACATCTGAAACAAAGAGAGTATATCGTCCTCCAATCAACCAGTCATGTACGTACCCGCTATCCTGTCAATGGTTCCAACATCATGACGCGTATCGTTAGATCCATCGACACGGAAGACACCAAGATGGACGGTCCGGCCTTACGCTGCGGACTAGATGGCCCACACACCACGAGCCGGCCAGCAGGTAACGCCGACAGAATTTCGACTCCGTTCTGTACAGAAACTGCACGAAAAAAGCGAACACCCCCTCAACACGAAAAAAAAAGAAATAGGATCGAAATAAAAATACCGAAGGGGCTTTGTTTCGAAAATGTAAGCATGCACCAAGTCCTTGTATTGGCAGCGAAGAACCCCCGAGTCCCCCTTTCAAGCACAGCCAAGCTACGAACGGTGGGTGCCCAGTCGGCCTACCCGCTCCTCAACACCCAGTACAGCAGGCCTTCAACGAAATCGCCCACAATTCTAAAAACAAAAAAGTACAACAAAATGGTTTGATTGGCCAGGGTGTGAACCCCCCGCCGAGACGGAGACGAACACCACGCACCCATGGCATGCTCTTCTGCCATTCCTCTCCCAAGAAAGAGAGCACGAAGAACAACAATCCTACACCACCAAGAAGAACGTTCTGCGGCGAGGCATGCGGTACAACTCCTACCGCCGTCGCACAAACGCGCTGCTCCCGGTCTAGCCTGCTTCCCCCGCCCTCCTCCCTCTCCCTCACGAGGAATAAAAGACGAGCCCCAAGAGAGGAAAGGGGTCACAGCAGACACTCCGGCGGAGGCGAGGCACACGCTCACCATCCTGTCTGCGGCCTCCCCGCCCGGCCGGATACGACGCGCCCGTAACGCCTCTCGCGCCCATCTTCCGAGACAGAATAGAACACGAACACGATTCTCGAGATCAAAATAATACACCCACGCGTCATTGCGAGCCAACCGGGTTGCCGTTCTCGTCCGACACCGCGGCTCCTCCTCCTCCGTTCGTCGAGTGGGCCGACTGGTACTCGGCCGACTTCCTCAGGGTCTCCTGGATGTTTTGCGCGCTCACCGGGCTGTCCACTGGCCTGCAGGACTGTTACATATGTTATTACCGTTTCGGTTCCAACAAGTAAAATAAAAAGGGGGGAGCAGAGGAATCGGTGTAAGGGGTGGGGTGCGGGGGAAGGGGAGCAATGCCGGCACCGGAGACGATGTACACGAACGCGACAGAGAATCGCAAGAGCGAGACAAAAAAAAAAAAAAGAGGCAGGAAAGGAGGGAAGGCAAGACCACTACGTAAAAGTACTTGCTTTCTCCCTCAATTGTACAGTATAATTTTCGGCCTTACGCCACTACGACTAGAAAGAACACTGCTAACATCTTTGTTTTTTCTCTGTCATGCGTTACTATTTTCGGTCTCACGCTAGACACTAGACTCACCAGGTAAATGCCCGAAAAGACCGTGAGGATGAGGAGGGCGATGATGAACACGTTGTTCTCGAAAAAGTATCGGAAGAACCGCACGTAGCGAACCTGCACAGTGGTTGCCATTTTATTCACGCCGGTGGTTGCAAGACACACCCATAAAGCACGCGCGGGTCCCCCCGAGAGGCAACAAACCACACGAGCATGATGAGGGCAAATTGGCGAGGGATGGCACAGGGAGAGTGTACGATGTGAGACTAGTGTATAAAGTCAACGAAGTAAAACAGAGGTGGACGACAATAATAACGTGTGGCGTGGGCGCAAGGTCGACCTGAGTCCTCCAGAGCAAGACAAGGGAAAAAACGCCTGGACATGTGTGAACTGCATGCGGTCGGACTTGACAAAAAACACACACACAACACCAACACAGAGCGTCTCACATGTTTTCCCCACAACCAAAAATAAAAAAACGCAATAAAATTGAACACACCGCCCCCCCCCCCAATACTTGATATTTGGGAGCATTGAAAAGGATTAAGTCGGCCCGGGATGTTTCGTTCCAAGTCAGGAAATCAAGATCCAAACTCGTACGTTCTTCGAGAAAGGCCACACCTGAACGTTGAAAAAATTGGTCACGTCCGTGTTGCGCAAGTAAGCGGAAAAAGCCTGAACCGTGAACTGGATCACCGGCGTCCCGCACATGAAGATGATCCTGCCGACGCGATGGGCCAATCAAATGGGCGGAAGGAAACAAGCAGCAAAAAGTGAGAGGGAAGTCGCATCCCAAGCATAATTGGTTTGAGGGGCGACAGGAGACTGAGCCTGGTGACGGGGAAGGCGACGGCAGCACTTGTCATGCGTCAACCTCGGAACACGCTGCAAGAGCTAGCATCCTGCCGCCAACAAACCAAAAATATTTTGAGGCCGGAGACATAGAGAGAGAGAGAGAGAGAGAGAGAGAGAGAGAAAGAGAGAGAGAGAGAGAGAGAGAGAGAGAAGGCAGATCCACAAAACAGCCTCCCCGTTCCAAAGGCAACCTTTTGGGACGGCGGAAGGCACGAAGCACATCCTATCGGCAACCAACCGCAGTGCGCAACCCCGCCCTTCCCTTCTATCCTCTCTTAGCTCTCCCTCTCTCTCTCTTTCTCTCTGTGTCTGCCTCCCTGTCAGTCTGTTCGTAGGCCTCCCTCTCTCTCACCCGCAATTGAAGAGGAACGAGTTCATGTACGTCCCGTTCGGCTTCATGGGGTGCAGGGTGAACCACACCAGCCGGAGCCCGAACTTGAAGCACCCTTTCACGCACGCCGCCAGCAGGTAGAAGGAGAATACAGCCACGGAGAGCACTCCGAACAGCGGGAACCACTTGTCGAACCAAAGGAAGTAGTCGTTCAGGAAGGGTGTGATCGACGGCTGGATGATCATGAAGATTACCATGTGGATGATCCAGACCAACGCGATGATTGAGGCAAGGATGCCGAACAGGAGCCACGCGAACGGCTTCACCGGGTTGAACCTGGCCAGGGGGGGGCAGGGGGGGCGTGCCTTAGTCATTTGACCTCACATGCCGGGACGGAGTGATACGCCGGTTTTCGCCGGCCCAGGCTACGCTTCACCAGGATGAACCAGGGGGGGAGAGGAAATCGATCTCTCATCTTAGAGAGCCGGTGTACCCAGCAACACGACGTCTTCGCGTTGCCGTGAGGCTGATTTCGTGATGAGTTTTGTCACCACCTCCAATCTACGGTACTACTGCTGAAGCCGTGCAATGTACAGTGACCACGTCTTCCCGACAAACATTGTGCTGCGCAATGCTCGACCAACGCACAAATCTATGCGTCCACAGCTCTGCCGAGATTAAAGGACAGCAGTCTACAACCTTGTACCGCACACGCCGATAGCTTGCAGCATACATCCCCATTATGACGTCTCCCAATCTCAGAAACCCTCATGTCAAACCGCGAAACGCAAAAAAAACGCAGCACCAGAGGACAACACGCCCCCCCCCCCCCCCCCCCCTCCTGGAAAAAAAACCCCAAAGAAGCAAGCCCGGGTGCTGTCTCACTTTTGGAAATAATCCTTGCAGAACTCAAGGGTGGGGTAGTCTTCTTCCAGGAGGGAAACAGCCTTGCAAGGGAACAAAAGCGTAAGTGGGGGGGGGGGGGGGACTCTTTTGTTTTGGATGGCTTAACGGTTAAACCATTGACCCCCCGTCGGGGGGGGGGGGGGTTAAGGGGAACTGAAAAAAAAAAAAAACCCCCTGGGAAGGAGGGGTGCCCGGGAAAGGTTTACACAAGGTGCCCTGGAAACCCTTTGGGACACTTTTCCAAACCCGACGGGCGGGAAAAGGTTTAGGGGGGAACTGAAGGGTTTTAAGTCCCCCGGGGGCCCCACGGAAAGGAAAACCGGGGGGTTTTAAGGGAAAAAACCCCCAAACCCTGGCCCCAGCGAGTTTCTTGGCGGGTCAAGGGGAAAAAAAAAACCGCAAGGAAAGGAAACCAAAAAAGGGGGGGGGGGGGGGGGG